ATTGTGTTTCTTTTAATAATAGGGTGGGAGAAGATTGATGATGGGATTGTTAAATTACATTTATATAAAATAAATAAATAAAATATTTTTATATTAAAAAAATTAAAATAAATATTAAAACAAACACGTGTGTTTTGGTCGGGCAGCTATTTTGTAAAAAAAAAAAAAATATTACATTGCTTCGAATAATCACCCGAATGACTAGATAGATGCAATCTGCTTACTATTTTCTTAATCCTATCCCCCTCACAACTATACTAATCTGGTCTGTAAGGAGGATTGTGAATTCGATTAGAATGCTAATCCAGTGCCTATATGAATCAACCAAATATAAATTCATGGACCCAAGGGGCCGTTTGTTTTCAAGGATAGAACGAAAGAAATTCGTAATGAGGGGATTGTTACTGAGAGAATTAATAATGAGGAGATTAAGTAAAATTATATTTGTTTTGATGATAGTTGTTAGTATAGGAATTGTTAAATTATTTATATGTAAAATAATAAAAAATACAAAAACATTAAATATTAATGTTTAAAAAAAATGCCCAACATCTGAAAAAAAATAAAAAATAAAAAATAAAACTATGATTTTACTTAACAAAAAATACAAAAAATTAAACTTTAATGTTCAAAAATAAAAAATAAAAATGCCCAACATGTAAAAAGTAAAAAAAAAATAAAATAAAAATAGTCTAGCGGATTATTTTTGATTACCAAGTCCCAAGCTTCCATCTTAATCTCCTCTCTAAGGCCCATCCTAATCCGAAGGGGGTTATGAATCCCCTCTCCATCTCCCAAAACAGACACAACATTAGTGAGTCTTACATTCATCTTAATCCCAATCTCCCCTCTATCTCTCAAAACAAAAAGAGTCCAACAGTCATCTTAAGACCCGTTTATTTTCAGAGATAGAATAAAATGGATTCATAGTGAGAGGATTAATAGTGAGATGATTGTTGATGAGGAAATTGATAGTGAGGGGATTAAGTAAAATTGTGTTTATTTTGATGATAGTTGTTGGTGTAGGGATTGTTAAATTATTTTTATATAAAATAATAAAATAAATAAAAAAATATAAAAACATTAAACATTAATGTAAAAAAAAATGCCCAACATGTAAAAAATAAAATAAATAAATAAAAATAAAAAATTTCCAAAAAAAATAAAACGAATGAGGCAATGATTTTTACTTTAAAAAAAATACAACAACAAAAAAAAAAATCCTAACATGTAAAAAATAAAAAAATAAATAAAAATAGTTCGACAGACTAAGGTTGCGCTTGGTAGAATTTTCTAAATATGATTTGAGAATAAAGTTGTATTTTGAGTTTGCGAGTTTTGAAATTATGGTTTGAGTGTGGAAAATTTATTTGGTGAATGGGTTTTGAAAAGAATTTTGAATTGAGTGGGGAATTTTTAATGTAGCATATGATATTTGATACAAAAACTTACAACTCATAACCAAACACAAAACTCAAAATTATATTCAAAACTCATAAAAAAAATTTAAAATATTCAGAAAATATTTTTATATGCACTGTTCCGGTTAACTGGCCGGACGACTTGTGGAACGTCCGGTAGGACGTCTGGTGGGACGACCGGTCAGTTCAAATTTTCCTGCCTTGGCCAGAGTTTTCAAAAGTGAGTGTGGATTTAATTTTTGAAAGCTGTAAATAAACACCACGTTGAAAACAAAGGGTAGAACTAAAGTTTGGAAACTCTACCAAACAGAGCCTAAAATTCTAATACCACCTCTACTCATTCATCCCAATCCTCCTTCTAAAGCCTATCTTAATACCAAGAAATTAGAAGTCTCCTCCCCATCTCTCAAAACAAACTTGACATATAGTGCATTTCACCTCATTATCAATGTCAATCCCCTCTCTATAACCCTTATAACCCCAAACAAATGAGGCATTAATTAATCAGGCGCCATGCTCTCCTAAAATATCCACGAGATATGAACAGGGATGATGTCATTAATTAATAATTAAATGGTTGTTTTGGATGATTTACATAAGTGTATTTTTTTGAATTTTTTATTAAAAAAGTAAAAAAAAAATATGCATATTTAGAATAATTTTTTAATTTTTTTATAAAAAAAAATATGTAATAAAATATTATAATAAATATCAAAATTATCGTATTCCTGACCTATGCAACATCATTGAGCTGGCTTTCCGTGCATTTCATTTCTTCTTTTTTTATGGGAATATGTAACTTACATTGTGCCACGTTTTCTTTTTGTTGGGGAAATGCAATGCAGCACTAAGCTGTTATCATTGATTTTTTTGTTGAAAAATGGGTGGGTGCTCGAATTTCATGGGTCGAAATTTGGGTCGAATTCGAAGAGAGGAGAAGGAGAAGAGAGGGAGCCGGGGTGCTGGTTCTGCCGACGTCCTCGTCGCCTCGCCGTCCTCGCCGCAGCTCCGCTTCTGCCTCTGCCTCGCCGCCACACCTCCGCCCCTGCCTCAGCCCCGAGTTTGTTGGCCCCCTCCCCTCCCCTCCCTCTCCTTCTCTTCCTCCCCTCCCCTCCCCTCCCCTCCTCTCCCCTTCCCTCCTCCTCTTTCTTCCTCCCCTCGTCTTCTTCTTCCTTCTGCTGAAAAAAAAAATAAATAAAAAATACAAAGATCAAAACGACGTCGTTTTGATCTTTCGACCCATTCGACCCACGAATTTTCGAGCTACCAACCGGGGTTGAAAATTTAATTAAGGTTTTTCCTTGTTCAGCCAGCCCGATTGCTCTGCTGTACTATTTAAACGCCCTGTGGAAGTTGCATATCCATTGGCAAAAGAATAATGCTTTTGCATATCCATCGGCAAAAGAATAATGTTATAAGTATTAATTAGTGTATCAATTAATGTATAAATTAATGGGATACTTATGTGTAGGTCTTAATAAGTGGACTTATTGCCTAATATGTCCTATGGAAAAAATTTATCATAAAAAAAGTCACTAATTGTAAGTTTTAGCGATAATTTATAAAAATCATCACAAAAAAAGTCACTAATTATCAATTTTTACATATATAAAAAATTGTCACAAAAAATTATTTTTAACGATAATTTTACCAAGATTTATTTTCAATAAAACTTGATGAGAATTAAGTCCAACTATTAAGACTTATTGGTAATTTATCCTTAATTGATAATGTGACATAATTTTAAAAATTTTAAGTATTTATAATTTATGTACTAGATAGAGTTAATAATAATATCATAATATTAATTAATACACTAGTTGATGCAAGTAGCGAATACAAAAAAGAGCTTGTGACCAAAACATTGTTTTCAGTACAATGACAATTTATGGCAATCCAATCTCCCTCTCTCTCTCTCTCTCTCTCTCTCTCTGTAAGCAACTGTTCTTGGAAATCCTCTTGTTTGTAGGCCAACTGTTATTGGAAATCCTCTTGTTTGTTTGGCAAATTCTATGACACACATCCGCTTTTTAATTATGATTTATTATGGTATTTGTTATAATTCATTGAGACTATTTGATTCCACTATTAAAGTATATGATTGAATTGTTAATCCAAAGATATACACATTCCTACATTTGAATTGCATAAATGATGATCAACTTAGTAACATTTATTCTTACTAATTGAGTTGGACAATCAATAGAATGGTTAATCCTATCACTATTACTCTAACAACTCAAACAAGTCCATTGTAATGTTAATTATGACCCCATTCACCCAATAATTGTTTTGAGCAGAATCATTAAGCGACAAAGAACGTGTTGCCACATGGACCCACCAACTTTAATAGACCAAAGTTTAAGAAAAATCTTTTTTTTTTCCAAACCATTTCTTACAAAAACAAAATAGTTGTAAAGTAGATTATTTGTTTTGTTTTTGTTTTTAAATTTTTAATTTTTATAGTGGAAGATTTGGTTTGGTTTGGTTTTGTTTCAACATATCATTTTCGATTCAATATATTAGACTGTTTTTTTTCTTTGTTATTTATTTATTTATTCTTTAGAACCTCTTTCTTTGTTACTGTTGTTGTTGTTGATGTTGATGATTGCAATAGATACACAAAAATGTGATGACACAGATTTTCAACAGATAGTATTTCAACATATAAGAACAAAGAGAAACTCACATAATTTGAACAGATAAATAGAGAAGCCCATGAACATAGATTCTCAACAGATAGTGTTTAAAAAGATAAGAACAAAGAGAAACCCACAAAATTGGAATAGATAGAGTGAGAAACCCATAGAATTTGAATAGATAAAGAGAGAAACTCATAAAATTTGAATATATAGAGGGGGGAAATTGAACAGATAAGGAAAAAAACTCAACAGATAGTCAAAAAAATTTAAACAAATAGGCAAAAAAAATCTAACAGATAAAAAAAGTCAACATATAAATTAAGGCGTAAAATTGAAAACAAAATGTCCTTTAAAATAAATAAAAAGGTTTCTCACCAAACTATTTCACAAATGGTGAATCTTTCACCAACAAAAAATATTCACTTGACCTAATGTCTTATACCCTCCTTAACTTGAACTATACAATAATTTTTTCTAAAAAAAAAATTGAATAATATTAGAGATCTTGAAAAAAAATCATGAAATGCTTCATGAAGATTTCTCATCATTTGATTAAAATATGGTGTTTTATTATATGTGTAATCTAACTGTGGAGAATCTTTCATGATATTTTTTTCACGATTCTTAACATTACTCAAAAAGATTTTAATTAAATTTTTGAGTACCTAATATTGTTGCTATCTTAATAGCCGTTTATAAAAATAAATATAATAATATCATGTAATTTTAATTATGAAACTAATTTGAATTTTCTTATTGAATCTACATACATATCCTACTACCCAACTTGACAGTAATGTTTCTCTGCTAAGGTGGAGAGAAGCCACAGTATTAGTGACAACAAGCTTAAAGGCTAAGAAAACATTTACCCTCTCCTCTCGAAACCCTAAAAAGCTATAAAAAACAAAAACAAAAAAAACAGAGAAGAGTGAGAACAAACAACTACCTAATTTACATATATATAGCATAAAGCTCCCTCTTTTGTTTTTGCTCCTTATTTTCTCACTTTAATCTCTCTCTCTCTGCCAACCCTCTCTTGGTGGTGATAGATTCGCCCCTACTACACCTTCAAGAACCACACACACATCAACCTTTACAAAAGAGAGAAAGAAAGAAGGATCAAGAAATAACCATGGTCTTTCCCTCCATTCCAGCTTATCTTGATCCATCCAACTGGCAACAACAGGTATATGGGTTTTCTTCAAATTTTGTTTCCATGTCTTCTTTCTTTGCCAATAAAGCAAAAAAAAAAAAAGAAGAAGAAACCCTTAAAAAATCAAAATCAAAAGATAAATATTCCAACCCCCTTTTTGCTCCTCTGTTGTTCTTTATTTTGAAAACTCGTCTTTGCTATTTCTAGTTGAATATACCAGATATTTCATTCTTGCTTTTATTTTTTTGTGTTTTTTTGTTTTCGGTTTCATTTCACAGCAACCAAATCCACAAACTGGAGGAGGTACCGGTGGAAACCCTCATCTTCTTCTTCCGCCACCACCTCCACCACCACCCCCAACACCTGCACAGACTCATGCAGGCAGTGGTGGGCCGGGCTCGGGCTCAATCAGGCCTGGTTCAATGGCTGATCGAGCCCGAATGGCCAACATACCCATGCCAGAGGCTGCCCTAAAATGCCCGCGATGCGATTCAACGAACACCAAGTTCTGCTACTTCAACAACTACAGCCTCACTCAGCCCCGCCACTTTTGCAAGACTTGCCGGAGGTACTGGACTCGAGGCGGCGCTCTGAGGAATGTTCCGGTGGGTGGTGGTTGCAGGAGAAACAAGAGAAGCAAAGGAAGCAGTAGCTCGAAATCCCCGGTCAGCAGTGGCGATGGACAAACTAGCAGTGGTGGATCTTCCGGTGCAATTTCATCTAACAGTACCGGAACCGCCAGCCTATTAGGGCTGCCACAGCAGATGAAGTTCATGTCTCCGCTGAGTCAACTCAGTGAGTACGGTGGTGGTGGTGGAGGCGATATCGGGTTAAATTACAGTGGAATTTCCGCACCAAGTGACATGAATTTTCAACTACCAAGTGGGTCATTTGGTGGTGGTTCTTATTTTTTGGGTGGTGGTGAGCAGTGGCGGTTGCAGACACCGCCACCGCAGATCTCATCGCTGATGGGCTTGGATTTTCCGGCGGGGCTGTACCCATTTCAGGGTGGTCTAGAGCCACCAAGTTATGGTGGTGAAGGTAGTCATGTTAGGCCAAAGATCTCTGGTTCAGGGCTTTCTCCTCAGGTGGGTAGTTCATTGAAAATGGAAGATAATCAAGAACTGAATTTGTCAAGGCAGTTTTTGGGAATCCCAGGAAATGATCAATTCTGGAGTGGTACTACTGGTACTAATGCATGGACAGACCTCTCTGGATTCACTTCTTCTTCCACTAGTAATAATAATGCCTTGTGATCTATAAAATTTTTAAAGTAATGCTATACAAACAAAATTCATATACATAAACTGTTTACAGATTGACGTGGTTTGTAATTGCAAAAATGTCAGTACCACGTCAATTTGTATGAGTTCTGTATAAAGAATCTGTATGTTTAGCATTTTTCTAAATGGTGTGTTGTGATGACCAAAGTCCCATAGTGAAGCTTAGTTTTTTTTTCCAAGTAAAGCTTCAAGAGTGAAGATAGTTTAGAAGTTAGAACAAAGTTCCATCCAAAGTCCTAGGATGGGAAATGGGAGCCCTAGATTTAGGCCAAAGTGGAGGGTTTTCAAGATTGAGTGAGGAGTTTGTCTAATCATGATCAACTGAAAACCCTAGAAATGTTAGTTGATTCATTTCATATATATATATATATATATATTTTTTCTTTTATTTCTTTTTTGTAAGTTTAATTTTCTTTTGTTATGTCTGAGCATGCATGTTCACCGACGTGAATGTATGAGTGTTGTTGTAGTTTCTATATTGGAGATGGAAAACCTAATTTTCAGAAGTGATTAGTAGCATTTGGCTCAATGATTTTTATGGAATTCTATGCTAACAAAATCTCACACTTCATCTTCTATATTCTTTCAATAGAGACAAATTTTGCATAACCAACTGAAATTCTCTCTCTTTGAATTGCCCTATGAATCGTATATCTAACAAATGAATCCAAAAGTGGTTTTACAGATCAGTGTACCAAATTGCTCAATATTTCAAGGGTGAAAAATCAAAATCGCAGCTGGTTTGGTTGAATCAACATTTTCTTTTTGTAGGGTTATCGTAAACTCATCGTATCCATTTTGAGATTTTCATGTTATTTGTGAGTTGAGAATTATAGTGCATGCTATGGGTGAATTAAGGCCAACTTCAGCAAGTAATGAGCCAAGTGGCTCACATATATGTGTGATTATCATGTATGAAAATGATGTTCCAATAATTATTTGGAATCCAATGTCAAGAGCATCAGATGGAGAGTTAGTTTTTCTATGACATCTTGTTAACTTGGGTGCCATTCGGTGGCTTAAATTGCGCATTTTTGGAGGATTTAGTTGCATATGGTAAGAATTCTACAAAGATGTTAAGGCAACTGCGACCCTTTTTAATGGAGTTCAGTTTCTTTCTCATGATTTTCTATTGCTTTTTATTAACACAAGGCATATTAGCAAAAACTATAATGCAGCTGTTCGAGTGACAATAGAAGTGAAATGACACTAAAACAACATATTCTAAAATGAAGTAATTTTGCTTCAACTTGAAACAAATGCCATTGTATTACCACAACAAGAACATTGCAAAGAGATCCATTGCAAAGAATCCTGATCCTTTTTTTATGATACAGTTTTATTGATCCTACATATACTTGAGTAAGCTTCTTGTTAATTAGGATCAAAGAGAATAAGGTTCTTCTATCATATTGTATGATTGAAAGTATCCTATGGTCATGTTTGTTTGGGCAAACAAAATTAGATGGGATTAGCATTGTTAGGACTGCTAGTTCTGAGACTATTAATCTCTTAGGATAGTGTATTATATTTCATATTTGGATTAACTCAAGATTATGAAGAATGAATAACAAAATCCTATCAATTTTGTAATTTAATTATTCAGTCTGAACATGACCTTTTTGTATCTCACTCTCTTAGTATTCAATAATTCTCTATATGAGGGATGCTATGTTTGGGTGGATTCTTAACCAAACATGAAATTAAGTATTTTATTATATTATTATTCCAATCCTCAGACCATATACTCTCAAACAAAGATGACCTATATGCTATTCTATTCTTTAAAATGCCTAAAAAAAATAAAATAATCATTTTAACCAATATAAACAAATTAAGGAGTTAAATGGCATGATGGTAGTTCATTCTGATAGTTCATTAAGGAGTTAAAGATGAGCTGAGTACTATTTTTATTGTAATAATAAACTACCTGCGAAAACATTCGCTGCTTGTTCCGATATTGTGTCCTCGCCTTGTTGACGACCGAGTTTGGTGACTCGTACAATCTCTGTACAAAGAGTGAATGACTTTAATAGGGGAACAAAGAAAGGTCCATAGATTCAAAGAAAGAATAGACTAATACAAAATCCCCAGCAACACAAATTAACAAGGAATTAGGTCCCAACATTGTCCCAAATAGAAACCACTTCAAGCCTTCCGCATAGAAAACCCAAGTTGGCAATGGGCAAAGCATAATAACTAGCACATTGTTTGATTGGTTAAACATATATTTTAAAAAAATTACAGCTTCAAATAAAACTGGTTTAAACCTGGTAAAGGTTTAGTGGCCACTACCTGATAAGAGTAGCAGCATTAGTTTTTGCAGAATAGATTTCAAAGACAACTACCATCTAATCAACCAAAGTTTGAATCAAGATCTAAATCTTCAACATTACATATCTAGGCATCTCAAGTTGACATGAGAGCTTGTGAAATAGGAGGAACTGATTCTTCCAATATTTTCTGAGCTCTTTCCCCATTACCAGTGGTCAGAGCTAGCAATCCTACAAAAAAACATATCTCAGACACTACTCCAAACAAACAAAATGAATCAAACAAAATGAGTAAAACAAAGGGTCAAAGAGTTACCAATGGCATGAGCTGCTAAAGCTATCTCCTTAGCAGACCCCTTCTTGATCGAATTCGGACACTGATGCAACAAAGTAGCAAACCTAAGGAAAAAACACCACATGAATCCATAAATATGCAGTGTTTCATAAATGTACAGACATGAAGAGCTGGTGCGACTGTGCAACCCAAATAATTCTACAATTCAAAAATTAAATATACACTGATAGTTAAGCAGATGAATCAACAATCGAATGTAATCTCTCTTTTTTTTTTCTTCTTCATTTTCTCTCTCTAATTTTCAATTTCAGTTAACTAACTTCATTAAAATTAAGTGACAGTGCAGAGCACACAACTATAGAAGGAACATAAATCAACAAACCAATCCTCAAAACCTCTCTATGACATTTTTACTTACACTTGGTGAGTATAAATCAAAAAGATCGGACAAGCACACTGTTCACATGTAGAGCAGGGAACTGCAACAACACCAATTTTCAATTCCATTGAATTACATATGAAAGAGATCGGAGAAGATGTGAAGATTTATTACCCGTTGAGAAGGAGATCGTCGTAGAGGGGCATGTGAGCGTTAGGGTGGAGAGGGTCGGATCCCTGAATCTGGTGGCAGACGGAGGGAGAGGAGGAGTTGCCGGAAGAGCTGCTAGGAGGAGGAGAGAGAAAGAGGGAGAGGAACATGGTGTGGCGGTTGCTGCTGCCGTGGTGGTCGGAGGACGATGGTGGTTGCTTCGCCAGAGGAAACGACCTCGGCCACGAGAAATAAGATCAAGATGGCAGTGGTGGTGGCGACCTGTGGCCGCGGCCGCGCCATTGGTGGATGGAATTGGATGTCAATGAGAGAAGTGAGAAGACGGTAGGTCTCTCTTCTCGCTAGAGACAGAGAGGAGATAGGGGAAAACAAAATACATATATAATTAATAATAATTTGCGACTAAATATTTTGGTCGCTAATTGTAAATTTTTTTAATACGGCTGAAATTTGAAATCTCCCTCTAAATATTTTAGCCTTTTGGCGACTAAAATATTCTTTTGTCGCTATAAATATACTTTTGGCGACCAAACTTTTGGTCGCCAAATATAAAAATATATATATATACATTTTTTTCATTCGGCTACTAAATAGTTTTAGTAGCTAAAACTAACTATATGGCGACTAAAACATTTTTTGTCGCTAAAAATATACTTTTGGCGACCAAACTTTTGGTTGCCAAAGATAAAAAATAATTTTTTTCTTTTCATTCGGCTACTAAACAATTTTGGTAGCTAAAACTAGCTATACGGCTACTAAAAATTTTTTTAGTCGTCAATTGTGATATTTTTAGGTACTAAAATTTTTTTTAGTCGCCGATATCCAATATTCCCCGACTAAAAAAAATTAGTAGCTAAATATTTGACTTTTGCCGACTAATATTATTTTTGGTAGCCAATTCCGTGACTTTTGGCGACTAAATTTTTTTTAGCTGCTAAAAATAATCGCCAAAAATGTATTTTCTTGTAGTGATCATAAAAATTATTTTTTATACATGTTTTTATAAAAGAATTAAAAATAAGCTACAATCGTCTAACTCCCAAAAACAACCTTCAAACGAGACCTATTTTGAGAAGTAAATTGGAAGATGACTTTTTAATTTTGTTATTTTTTGTTAAAAATATATAAAAAAAAATATAGAGATGATGTGATTAAAAAAAATTAAAAAATTAACTTTTAACCGTATTGTCAAAATAGGCTTTTATTTGGATTTGTAGAGGGTGTTTGGGATGCAAATTTGGAGCTAAAATTGTCAGTAAAAATAAAAAAGACTAAATTAGTCAATAAGATAAAATGTCACATTCAAATTATAATTATTTTATTTTTTCTCTTACAACCATCAAATTGACTATAAAAAAATCCATTATCATCCTAAACACAATTTTTTTAATCAGATTGAAATAATTAAAAAATCTACTAAAATAGTCAAATTTTCAAACAAGTCCTTAATATATATTTTATATTCTGTGGTGTAAGTTTGTTTGTTTTGCTTTTATATATATGTTTTTTAATTAATTAATTAATTAATTTTTCCTATATGAGGTTGTATGAAAAACTTGTCGATATTGAAATTTGATGAAGTTGACACATGGAAAGGAATTTTTTTTTTTATTACGATAATAATATTATGTCATAGATATTATCATTTTTTTTTTTGATAACTCAGGTATCCCCAATCCGCTGATTTTAAGGGAAGCCAGGACTAATGTGTGTGTTTTTTTTTTTTTTTTTTTACTTGGAATGTGTAAGCCTATACTTCTATGTCGGAGATGTAGATCCCAATTTATAGATTTGTGGTTGATTACTAACCATCTGACATCACTTTCTGTCTTTCCTATGCTGTCTCAGTGAGGGCTGCTACCATTTCTAGTGATCTTTCTTATGAAAGTTTACATTTTTATTGGTTTTGTTGTGGGTCAATAGGATATTTTACGTGTTATTTATTTGGTTTTTATGTTTAATTTTCCGATGTTAACCTACAATTTTAAATGGTTAGTTGTGAAGACTCTAACATTGTACTATCTTATGGTGCACTTTTGAGAGACTGCATTTGTCATCAAGTTGTAGCAAGGTGAGTAATATTAGCCCTGTTGACTTGTCAAAATTCATTGTCAAAGAGAGGGAACTCTATTTGAAATAAATATTTTTTGATAACTGGTTAGGGTTTATTATTTTCGGAGTAATAGAAACCTAGCATTACAATGAACAATTTTAGCATGCCTGTTTGTTACTTTCGCTCCATGTATAGGGAACAACTTTTCTAGCCTTTTTCCCTATCAAATATTGCTAAGGCTTATACATGCCTCACACTTATGACATAACAATACTACTTTATCATGTAACGTTTTCTGAGATTATTGTTCGTCTGTTTTAGAAATCAATATTTTTCAAAGTTCTTGTGCTTGTTATGTCAGCTTCATTTGCAATTCATGTACAAATTAACTTATTCTTAGAAGAAATAAAGGGACCATCTGTTGAGTGAGAACACAACGAATTTCACTAATGTGAATTTTTGTTAAGTACAAAACACTTGTACAAGGAAAGGTAAACTTAGTGGTTCATAAATGGTGAAATGAGTGGTTAGGTAAAATTAGTGGTTGGTAAATGATGGCTATTGGGTAGGTAAAAAGTGTGGTGAAAATTTTAGTTGTAGAACATTCAAGTGTAGCTTGCAATCTTGTAAAATTATCTAAAAGGGGAGAGGGAAATATCTTAAGAAGATTCTAGAAAAAGTAAAGAGAAGTCAGTGGTGATTCTTAATACCATCATCATGATTTCTGTAAAATAAACAAGATTAACATCGCATATGTTTTAACTCTTGATGTGAAAATAACAACCACCAACCTTGGCCTATTTCTACAGGTGCTTCAAAGATGTCCATCATGTGATATGGTCATCATATTGCTATTCTTGTGCTAACTGCTATGCTACTTATGCTACAACAATTGTTACATAGTTTGGCTTACAATTGTGTCCTTGAATCTCGAGTCTTTACTTACAAAACTAAGTACATAGAACATGGGATTTCAGTTCTCGATCTCTAACATCTTGATATCTTAATCTGAACTTTAGAATGTTAAATAGATTGCTGCATTTTTCTATAGTGACCAACGTGGCAGTTAAGCAAAAGTTCCTTGTTAATAATATTCATTCATTTGCTTATGCATGTTTGTGTTCATTTCACAAGCTAGTGCCTAGTCAAAGCAAAATAACAATTTTCATTTATCGTTTTTCATTAAAAATATTCTTTGTGTAATGTAGATTTGATTTCAAATGGTTGTTTTCACAGGTACACCTTAGAGTCAATGCATATGAATACCAAGTCTAAATTTTGATATAGCTTTAGATGCTGTGGTGACTTTTAAGGTTGAGTATTGTCAAAACCCCAAACCGCCCCTAGAAGGATGGTGCCGTGATGGCCAGTAATCCAAGATTACCGAAGGCCAACTTTCAAAATTCACACACAACAGAGTATAAGTATATGGGGCTCACAAGTACAGAAGCAATACATACAAATCTAATTGGTCCATAAGAGCTGTGCGTAAGTCAAATGAAATGGCATACATCTTCACGTGGGTTACAACTTAGTTACAAATGAAGTAAAGTACACATTACACCTTGATCAAAAGGCTTCTCAAGCCGACGTATGCAAAATACAAGTATTACAAGTCGAGAAGCATAATTTTCAAGATTGCCGACATAACAAAAATCCAAACAAGCTCGCGAATCACATCTAGGCGTCATCGTCTTCTTGCTCATCACTTATATATATATATAGAGGGTGAGCTTGGATACTCGGTGAATGATATAAATAATAAAGGGTTTGCATGAATAATAGCCAAGGTCTTTTCAAACGATACATATCAAAACTTCATATAACAAGGGATGGACCTCGTCCATCTAACAAATCTTCAAGGCTTCAAGGAATGCTTACTAGCATTAACATATTACAAATGATGACATTTCGGGCAAACAAACCCACGCGGTAAACCGTCAGTGGCAAAACAAGACAAAGCAAGGGAGATATCTCAAACAATGGTGCAGTTGCATTATAGTCCCCTGGCACTAAGGACTTTCAAAACAAGATGTGCAGTTGCATTATAGTCCCCTAGCACTAAGGACTTTCAAAACAAGATGTGCAGTTGCATTATAGTCCCCTGGCACTAAGGACTTTCAAAACAAGATGTGCAGTTGCATTATAGTCCCCTGGCACTAAGGACTTTCAAAACAAGATGTGCAGTTGCATTATAGTCCCCTGGCACTAAGGACTTTCAAAACAAGATGTGCAGTTGCATTATAGTCCCCTGGCACTAAGGACTTTCAAAACAAGATGTGCAGTTGCATTATAGTCCCCTGGCACTAAGGACTTTCAAAACAAGATGTGCAGTTGCATTATAGTCCCCTGGCACTAAGGACTTTCAAAACAAGATGTGCAGTTGCATTATAGTCCCCTGGCACTAAGGACTTTCAAAACAAGATGTGCAGTTGCATTATAGTCCCCATTAAAACTAAGTTAAATCAAAACATAACACTGTTTTTCATCTCGAGGAAAATATGCTGGGCACCAACCAGGTCTTGGCCGAGGTCCCACACTTTCTCGCCGAGGTGTGGTTCTGACGGCCACATTCAAAAGCGAAGTCAGGAAAATCTGGGTTTCCCTTTGAGGAACATGAAGAACATGAAGATGGAGAAGATGAAGAACATGTATGCTTAAATCATAACTTGTTATTACAAAATCTGGGATTACATGCTATGAGTTCGAAAACATGGACCTGGGTACCCATACTTGAAAATCTTGCGAAAATAAACACAAAAACATGGTTCTTGATGCAAACTTTCGGATCAAAACAAGACTTTCTTCAAGAACATAGGAACACTATTTTCTCTTACTAAAACCAACTTTAAATCAATGCAAGGCATGCAGAACAGGTTTGATCATGCAATGCAGCTGGACGATTAATAAGAACAACAAGAGTAGATTAAGATTCTAACCTCAAAACTTGAATATAACGGCTTAAACTCCCACAGTCAAGCTTGGAGGTCCACTCTCTCACTCAAAAGCTTCTCCTTCTTCTTTCTAGAGTCTCTCTCTCTAGAAGACAAGATTTGATACTAAAATGATATGTTTTCTCGATAGTCACTGACTTAACCCTCTGTTGGGACACGTGGCATCGGCTGATTGGCTCTACTAAAAAAGGTGACTGACTGACAAGACAAGACCATGACAAAGTGTGTTTAACAAGCTAGACGGCAAGAGCACTCCTGTAAGTGATGATCTCGGCTAAGGGTAAAGCTTCGGCAAGTAGGGTAGCAACGACATCGGCTTGGAAGGACAACACTTGACTAAGCTGTGCCACACCTTGGCCTAGATGTGCCACACCTCAGTCTAGGTCATACCATTCCAGGAACAAAATCACTCAGTGCAAGGATCAAGGATCTAGAACGCCTAGATAATGACATCTCGGCCTAGATGATGCACATCTCGGCCTAGGTGACGCACACCTCGGCCTAGATGATGACATCTCGGCCAATATGCCAGGGTGAAGGTGGAGGTCAACCGAAGTGGTTCCAAGATAGTTCTAAGTGTGGAAAGGTTCCAAGGTGTCTAGGCTTAAGATGACCTCGACAACACACCAGGTAAGAACACAGCATGCAAGCAACACTCAAGCAAAACAAGATAGGATTTGCAAATGCACATAACAAAACAAGATCATACATAAGTGTATGCAAGTATGACTAAGTTGAAGGGAGGGTTGTTACACTTAACATAATAATTTAATCTAACAAATTGCATCTTATAAATCTAATCAAAATTTAATTTAATCTTATAAATTTTACTACCGTTGTATATTTTTTTTTCTTTATTTATAAATTATGTCCTCTCTATTAAAAAAAAAATAAATAATGTAAACCTTTCAATTTTTTGGATTGATTTATACGCAACTTCCATTACATCATAGTAATGTAATCATTCGCTAGCCCCAAAAATTCACTTTCGTGTGATTCCAAAATTGGAGTATTAAACTTCTTTTAAACTATTATTTTCGTAGAAATCTCAAAATAAATTTTATTTCACGTGGTTCCAAAATTGTAATACAAAACTTCTTTCAAACTATCACTTTATACATCTTAATATTTAAATGAAGGATGATTATAAATTTTATACATCTTAATATTTTAATTTAAAATTTATTTTTTGATTTGTATGCAATATTAATAATTAAAATTTTTTATGCAATATTAATAATTCATTTTTTTTTTGTAAATAAATTATTAAGTGAATTAATGATTTTTAGTGATATGAGAAATATTTTTTGATGAACAATTTTGATAATTTTGTTGTTGCATAGGAGAGCAGTTAGATTTTTTTTTTTTTTTTTTTTTTTTTTTACTTGAATTACAAAATTTAACAAAGAATAGTAATTATGAGAACTTTAAGTGTATTTAACAATAAAAGCTAAAATTATTACAAACAAAAATCTTGTTACAATCAGATAAGAGTTAATCAACTAATATATTATCAAGTGATAAGCAAGAAAGAGGTAATTTATCAAAGAAGAATAGTTTTTACATCCTCAGAAAAATCATAAGAATGTTAGGAATGAATATATCTTTAAAATTAAAGTACGAACGCAATGAAGGTGCACCACTATTTTGAAGCTACAATATTTCAAAAATTCCATTGAAGAACTCGTTGGCAACAATTTTTTATTCAACTACTTCAAAGATCACACTATTATCAACTAACTAAACTTTAGGTGATGATAAATATAGTATGGTTCAATTTACCATCAATAAATCTTTATCTTTGCTGATAAAAATATATATATATATATAATATGGTTCAACACCCAAAGCCCATGAGTCTCTAGATACACTAAAGGAAAAAAAAATATTGACAAAGTGATAATATAATTGGATACCTTGATGGTCTTCATACATAGAGAACACACAAAATCCAAAACACTGAAATATTTTGCGGAGTTGTTGGTAGATTTAAAACCTAGGATCAACATCATCAGACAAACATGAAACAAAAGAGATGCATACCCTATAAAATAACAAATATATGAAACAAAAGAGATGTATACCTTATAAAATAACAAATATAGTACGGTTCAACACCCAAAGCCCATGAGCCTCTAAATAGAATAAAGGAAAATAAAATATTGACAAAGTGATAGTATAATTGGATATGAGTCATGAGGGGGGGAAGAGATTGATTTCAGGGACTTGAAAAACCGTGATTGAAAAGTTTTTGCCATCTGAAATTTCGCAAATTTTGTTAGTTCGTCGTTGTGGCTTTTTACTAGAAGAAAGTTTGGAGATGGGATCTTGATGTGATGTTATGTATCTCAGAATTCTGGTTTTGTGTTGTTTTTTCTTATGCTGTCTAAAAAACCAAATTCTAGTTGCTGCTGAATTCCGATTCTGTTGGATTAAACTGCAAGGAAATAATTGTCTTGAAATCCAATTTCATGTTTCGATTGGTTGGACTGAATTCTGTGTTTCGCAGGTGAAGGACGTCATGAAAAAGCAAGAGGAGCTTCCTGTCTGCCGGGAAGGAGATATGATTATGGATCAGCTAGTAGAGCTAACTAGTAAAGGATGTGGATGCCTTCTTGTTATTGACGATCAGTACCACCTGATAGGCACATTTACTGATGGAGATCTGCGGCGCACCCTGAAAGCTAGTGGGGAGGGGATTTTCAAACTCACAGTAGGGGAGATGTGCAACAGGTAATTGTCAGAGTCAATATCTTTTGAGGAAATATAGGTTTTAAAGCTAACTGGGTGAAAAGTAATCGATTATGGCAATTGTTTACTTGATTGGATGCTTCTAGACCATCTAGTTTGGACTTGCCTGGCCACTGGGTAAAGTCTGATGTTTCAAACTCTCCAATCATTCTAACGTTCCGATTTGTTTGGCCCGAAAACATTTTCTCAAAAAATAAGATAGAAAAACGGAAGTTAACAAAATAATGTTTTTTGTGGTCAACGGAAAACAATTTTTTTTTTTCAATTTTGAAAGGTGAAAAATGATTTTCGGACTAAAGTCTTACCATGCCGTCACACTACCCATGATGGCCCTGGGCCACCACCACCTTTACCACCCCACCATCACCTCCACTACCCCCTCCACCACCTCTACCACTCACCACTAGCACCATCACTAATACAACCATTATAGCACATTAGTGGTAGATCGCAACCAGACATAGGAAAACATTTTCTACAAACAAAAAAATTTGAAAATTGTTTTTCATAGGAAAATATTTTCTGCTAAAACATACAGAGTGTAGTAATTGTATGATATAGATCTGTCAAGCTGGACGCATCAATGCCTCATCTGTAAGAGGAGGTGAGTGTGGGGTTGATGCCACTAGGGTAAATGCAATTCTTTTGTGTTATAACACTTGTTCTACAACTTTTCTGGCATTTCAGGAACCCGAGGACAGTTGGTCCAGATGCAATGGCAGTTGAAGCAATGGAGAAGATGGAATCTCCTCCATCTCCGGTTCAGTTCTTGCCAGTCATCAATCATCAGAACATCTTAATTGGTATTGTTACACTGCATGGATTGGTCTCTGCTGGCTTGTGAACTTAGTAAGGTTGTCATGCGCTCTATTCTATCTTCTGTTTGTACAATAGTAATTCTTTGTAATGTTTTTTCCTTGACCCTGCCTTAGCGAGAGCCTCGTGCACTAGGTCGCTCTGACTTCTCTTCTAATGAGGTGGTGTATCTGTACTTTAGATGATTAATTTTGTTGTTGCCAAGAATGTCACGAGGTAATATTGTATTCTTTATTGTAAAATCTAGTGAGTTTCTTGAGCTTCCTATCTTATATTTTTCTTGAAAACTTGAATATGTAGTTTTTATATTCATTGTATTTATTGTATTCTTTATTGTAAAATCTAGTGAGTTTCTTCAGCTTCCTATCTCATATTTTTCTTGAAAACTTGAGTATATATACTTTTTATATTCATTGTATTTGTTCTTTGCTTCTCAGTCACTTGGTCCTATGACAAGCATAAGGAAGCACATGCTCACCAATGATAAAATATGAAGGCTCTATATTGGGCTTTTTTTTATCTTCTCTACTTTCCAATTTAGGTTGTATTAGGTCGTATTTAGTTGAAGAATTTAATGAGGGACATAGAAAGGGAAAAGAGAAATAAAAAGAAATGGAAAAAAAATTAATAAGATTCGAATTCTAAATTATATGTTTTGTTGAATTGGGAAATGAAGAAAGAAAAGAGTCTAAGTAAACTTAAAAGATAAAAAGTGAGATTATATTTTTCTCTCACATTCTTTTCTCATATGTTTTCTATTACAATCAAACAAAATGTGATTACATTTCTTTTTCTCCGTTCATTTCTCTCTTCGAATTCTCTAACCAAATGCAATCTCAAAAAGCATGAAGAGATCAATTCTGTTAATTGTGGATGGAGGTGTTTGTTGTGTAGATTTGCATAAGAGGTGAATAAATGGTGAATTTTGATTTTTCCTAATTGAGCATTGTCTACATTTATCCATTAACAATTGTTGGTTCTCATAGATAAAGAAAAATTATTCAATGTAGTGCGTGGTTATGTTACAAATGAATTTATCACCATTTATTTGTGGCATTGTTGCACATTACATTGAATAATTTTGTTCCTAGTTGAGGGTTTTTGAAACCATAATACTATGAATCCATGAAAGTACTCTTTAAAATAAAATGTACTTCTGAGTATAATGTACAAGATTATATTAAAATTTAAATCTGTCCCAGAAACTTTATTTCGAGATACCTTTCAGCTTTTCTTGCTTTTTGAAAAGCTACTACGTGTAGCTTTTAGCTTGGGCTCCACATAAAGAATGTACACAAGACATGGTAATAATAATGTATCCACATTAATTGGCATCACAGCCCAAGTAATGTTCTAAACACCCTCTAAGCACAAGAATCTTGTTTTTGGAGGTTGAATATAACAATTAAACTAACACTTTCCCTGATACCTTAATGTTGTGTTTGGTTGAAAAATTTAGGAAGGAATTTGGAAATTGAAAGGAAAAGAAAAAAGGTGCGTGAAATTACGTGAAATACAGATATATTTTATTTTCATTTCACCTACCTTTTCTCTTTCCAAATCCCTTCACAAATCCTCCAACCAAACACAGTGTAAGTTTAACAAGTGCTAATAATCCTCTCTCTCTCTGTCTCTAATTTTCTTTCTCATTTTTTGTGAGAAAGTAAATTTTACTGATTGTATGAAATTACAGTACGTAATACAAACACATTTTCGCTTAGTTTTGGAATTCCGTCAGAAGTTGGCCTAATTTTGAAAATATAATGTAAAAAAAGCTTATATTGGGAAAAGCCTCTGAAACAGCAAGATGAGATACAGACCCTATACTTTAATCACAGCTTGTTGAATGCGTGTTTGATATTGTTTTCATTTTCTATTTTCTATTTATATTTTCATTTTGAAAAAAAACACAAAATTATTTGGCAAACTGTTCTTAAAAATTGTTTAAAATAATCCACTTCTTAACAAACACCCATAAATTGTTTTTTGAATTTTTGAAAAACTCTTTTTCACACACAAATTTGTTTATCGTTTCCATATATATATATATATATTTGTTTTTAAAAATAAAACAACCATTGTCTCCATAAAGTTTTCATTTGTATGTAAAAACAGATTACAAAGATTAGAAAACAACCTTTTGATGTTTCTTTAAAAAATGGGCTTTCAAGAAATTTACCCGAAAATAGATGTTGAAAATAGTTCACCAAGTAAGTTTGTTGTGTTTTTCGGAAAATGATAACAGAAAATAGTAATCGAACACAGCCAAACAAATACTCAAAATAAAATAGATACTTACCAAATCCAAGAAACTTATGGAAATAATACTCCAGTCTAGATCCTCTGCCGCATTTATCTGCTGTGCTTCCTGCATGGCTACCACAACGACTTGGAATTGATAGAGGGAACCGTAGCCAAGTGGCATGAGTTTGCAAAACTTCTATTCGTTGGTTCAAATCCGACCGGGTTCCTACAGCGCCATTCCATCCATCCGGTTTTGAGGATCAGTAAAGAACATGGCCTTAAATTGCTCTCCTCATAGGTTAGGCGGTAAAGGATCAGTAAAGAACATGGCCTTAAATTGCATCTTGATCAAAGAGCCCAAGGGTATTGAGGCACTCTCCTCATCTGCTTTTTCTTCCTTTGATTGACTCCCAAACCATAAATGGCCTCAAAGGAAGACAAGCAAATCCACGGACTTGCTCGATTTAGTGTGCCTCGCTTATTCTATTAGCTGTAGTAGGAGGTTGACTATGTCCTCAGACATTGATTGCTAGACGGAATGTAGGATCAACTCCTTTATTATTATGAGTAAGATACGGTGAGAGAGGAACGAACTGAACCAAGACTCAGACCAATACAGTAGTTGAGATAGGAAAATTTGAGAGTGAGAACCTAGCTCGGCATGAAAACTTAACAGCCCATAGTTAAGAGGATACACACCTCTCATAGTCAATCAAATCAGTCAAGAGATAGGGATGTGCACCTTGTAGGTGAGTAAGGCCATCATCCATCCTAGCTCGAGAAGATAACCAGCGCAATAGCAGCATTCCTGAGCTAGGTGTGCATCCCTATCTGTTGACTGATTTGACTGACTATGAGAGGTGTGTATCCTCTTAACTATGGGCTGCTATGGAGGGATCCAGTCAAGTACCTACATTCCGATTCCCAATCTCATGGATGAGCCTCCTCTACGGATGCAAAGAGCTCCCGCACCTTATTTTATGAATGGGCAATCTGAGAGGCCTCGTTACAAGCCTAAGGGCAGAGGGTGGGACATTAATCCAAAGCTCGAGTACGGTATGAAGCCCTTCCTCCATGAAAGGCTCGAGCAAAAGGTAGAAAGGCTAAGACAAAGCCGCTTCCTAAGTCAATCAGGTATGGCTTTAGTTAAGTAAAAATACCCCCTCTTCACCAGTAGCCAAGGTAGGCGCGTGAGCTCTTTTAAGTGTTTAGTACCTCACTGGTGCTCTATATGAATCACTCACATATTCTTCTGAATTATTTGTATCCGCAGGATTAATATGGAAAACGAGTAGGACATGCAAGAACAAGCAATTTCTGTTGGAAACATTCTTCTAATGAATTCTTTGGAAACTTCTATAGTAAATGGAACAAGCCAAGGAAGAATTTTAAGTCCTATTTACTTGCCTGCAAGCCCTATGAAGAAAGGTGCTTTTTCTTCCTCTAGCATTTCTAGTGAACCCAAGAAAGCCAAGACTAGCTCATTCACCAGCATTTGGTTGGAGCAACAGTAGGGCAAACCCAGTCTCAGTCCTGCCTATGGTCTACAAAAAGGTTGAAGAGAAAGCGAATAGATGACGTGGGAGAGAGTAGCTTGCTATTACAACTAGTAGTCGTCTAGAAAAGGGGTTTGGAATTCGACCTCCCCTACTCTAAAAAGGAAAAGTATGCTCGATTCTCCAATCATCGAAAAAACCAAATTCAAATAGGGATAAAGGAAGAAGAAAAAATCGAAGATTTCACATAATATTTTTGATCAAAAAAACAATCTGATTTATTTTGTACCTCTTGCTCAATGAGAAAATGAGTCAAAATCTACAAGATCAAACCTATGGGACTTAAGGAATGATATAAAAAAAAGAGAAAAATATTAAATAAAAAAAATAAGTAAACAAAAATGAAGTAGAAGAGCCCAGATTTCAAATGAACAAATTCAAACTTGAAAAGGATCTTTCTGATTCTCGAAGAATAAGGAGCAAAGGGATTGATCGAGATACCCAAGGAAAGTCCTGCATTACAACAGATGCCTTTGAATGTGAATAAGATACAGCAACAGATAAATCAGATGAGGGATATGTTCCTAACCATTCAATAACTGATTCTTTGTCCTCGACAGATAATTGAAGGTAATCCGTCTGAACTTGAGGCTGATATCTTCCAGATATGACGTCGTTTTGGTGGTTTTTATTATTTCTTTCTTTCTTTCTTTCTTTCTTTCTCTCAAAGGTCTCAAACATTTGTTTGAGAAACCATAACAGAGAGGCGAAGAGGAGATAGGCGATTGGACGGCAAGGGAACGGCGGCGGCGAGGCGACGGAAGCGGCGACTCCAATCAAGAAAAGAGGGTTCAAAACATGTTCAAAACATGTCTTCCACTTCACACTCCATGAAGAAACTAAGATGATTGTTTGGTCAACCAATTGAGAATCTAAGGTTTTGGAGGAGTCCAAACAAACCTTATCTATACTCAGATCTCAACCCAAAGATAAGCAAAGCAGAAACCAAATTGTAGTTCTCTCCTTTCTTGTTTTTCCCCAATTTAGCAAATTAATCTATTTCAACTCTCTTACATACAACAATTCTCTTCCAAAACCCACAATTTCCCAGCTATTATAGATTATTTCTCCGGGTTTTTCACAAACAACAATCTAAGCAAACAAGAATAGAAGAAACCCAGAAAACAAATCAACCTAAATCAGTATGTGGAAACAAAACCAGGCCTTTCCTCTTCAACAGCAGCGACAACGAGAGAGAGGAGGAGGACGTTGAGGGTCCATTACACTCAATCTTGATGAAGTCGCCAATGTCGTCGCCTCGCCATCCACTGTCGCTCTGTGTTCCTAAGGTGCTTAGGGTTGTGGTTGTGGCCTCTCAAACTGAGAAAAGAAAAGAGGCGTAAAGGAAAAAGATTTATATAAAAAAAAAAAAACTTTGATGGAGCAGCTAATAATATGTTTATGGATAGGCGTGTTGCTGATAGCACCCAATGATTCCCATATATCCCTAGCTTTCTAACTTCGATTCAAACTATCTAACAATGAAGCAAAATATGAGGCGTGTATCGCTAGATTGGAAGCTGCCCTAGAACTAGGGGCAATAAGGTTAGACGTCATCGGAGAC